TAGCCCCCCACCCCCGTTTTTTTCTTTCTTTTCTTCTTCTCCCTTTTTTTCTTTCGATCCAGTCCACCCCTCCCCTTTAATTTTTGCCTTCTTTTATTATTATTGATATTGTAATTATTATTATTATTAACAGTGAAAATATACTAAAATAGAACTTCTACATTTTTTTCTCGAAATAGGACTTAAGATGAATTACATTACCAAATATGGTCATGTACATTATCAAAAAATATACTCTCTCCGTCCTATAATGATCTTCCCAGAGCACTATTCCAACTTCACGGAAATTTATATTTATTTGTGTTTTTTCATGGCCTATATGATAAAATAAAATATTATTGTCACCACTTGTTTTGTTGAAGTTTTGGTGTAGTTTTTAAATATGTATGTTTTATTTTTTATTTCTATACCAATATTTAAATGAAATAGATTGAAAAAACTTGAGATTTTTTTTCGTTTTGCGAACCGAGAAGATCATTATAAGACGGATGGAATAGTTATGTGCACATGTACAGTGTCACATTACTAAAGTGTGAAGTTTTATTTCGATGAAAAACATGAAAAATCTTATTTTGGAACTTTTCTCTATGTTTTAGTCTTATTTAGAGTGATTTCTAAAAAAAAGTATCTCATATAATGTGGGGGAAGTAACTTTTTGGTTTGATTGTTGGGAGAAATTGATTTTTTATTTGTTATTGTATATAATTTATTTGAGTAAATAAAAAAATAATTTTCATAAATCAATCATTTGACAAATAAATAGTTTTATAAATAAGAATTTGATAAATCAACATATAAATCAATAAATAACTAAATAAATACTCCGTAAATAAGTAAATAATACACGGAGTCTAAATAAATAAATAAGAAATAAATACTCCTTCCTCAAGTAAAATTCATGAAAGGATTTGCAAGGAAAAAAATATTTTTTTGAATTTATATTTTCCTGATAATTGTTGTAGAAATAAACAAATTACTCCTTTCGTCCTAAAATATTCTTCTCAGTCACTATTAACATATTCAAATTTTAATCACTTTCTTTAACTATTTTCGTTAGTTATATGGTAAAATAATGAGTATAATTATGTCACCTCTTGACTCTTGTTTTGTAGAACTTTTGATCTAGTTTTAAAATATGTAATTTTATTTTTTAATTTTACAACTATATTCAAATAAATAGAATTGAAAATGATTTCAGTCAAACTTCATAAACCGAACTAAGAATATCATTTTAGGACGGAAGGAGTATAAACTTAAGAAGATAACAAAATATTATTCAAAATAAAAGATGATATGATAATATTATTATATCAATTGATCCATAAATATATATAAATATATAAAATAATTGGGACTCTAAAACAACAACTTAAAATTTGATTTGAGGAAAGAGGGAATATAAAAATATGTTACTTATTTTTTAATAAAAGGATTATGTTTTACTCTTATTTTTAATAATTTTCTTTAATTTGTATCCCCATTTCACAAAACAATTCTATTTTTATTTTTTTACTCTTACCTTGAAACATTCCTCATATTTTATGTGGAAGTTCACTCATGTTTGACTCTCAATGGAAGTGGATGAGTTAACTCTTTGTATGTCATTAAATTAAAAAATAAATAAATAAATATTACATTATAATACTGTACGTCAATACCACTAAAAAATACTTTTATTTTTCATTAAAAAGTAAAAAAATGTTTAACTCATATTTTTTGAGTTATATTGACTCTATTAAAAAATAGTATCTGTTCGTACCATTCCCAACCTAATGACACACTTAGAGTCAATGGCTTTGTTTGATGACAGCGTTTTCGATTAGCGTTAGCGTTTTAAATAAAATTTTAATGGTGCAGATTAATTCTGAAAACGCTAACGCTAAAGGCTACCGTCGGATAGCTTTTTCAAAACGCTAACGCTAATCTCTAACGCTGATGCCAAACGGGGCCAATAACTCCATCTCCGCTGGGACTCAAACTTGGATGAACTTTTTCATGAATTCTGAAGAGTGAGCTTCATATTAATTTTTATTCAACTTAAAAAAAAGAATCCAATTTCCTTTAAGAATTACTGCTCCATGTGAAAAATTAGGACACAAATTATACAAACTTGTCATTCGTGACTTTAGCATTATTAAAAAAAAAATACTAAACTTATTTATTGCCACACGTTTCCATTAATAAGTTTTTATTAAAATTTTAAACCGGCGTACGTTTCGACCCATATGCACGGATCCTCGTTAATTAATTCCATGCTACGTATGGAAAATTTGTTTTATTAAGAGCCTATATTTCCAATTTTATTCTCAAAAAAGTTAATTATATAGCTTTATTTTGTTAAAAATACAATATAAAACCATGTTTAAAACTATTCATCATTTATTTCATTTTATTACTTCTCAAATAAAATAATATTTATTTTATTTTTAATTTTAATAATAAAACTTTGGCGACCGTTCTTTTAGTTTTTCATTAATTAAAATAACTTTAATTGTTAATACATCGAATGACCATTAATTTTTTATAAAATCTATTCACTATTATTCTTTTTAATTTATTTCCAGGAGCAAACATCTATATAAATGTTAATAAATGTGAATTATTATTAAATTTACAACTTTTAGAAGAATAAAACATAATTATTATTAAACTATTATTATATTATGGTTCAAACGAGAACGTTTATCAAAATTTTAAAATTGCAAAATGTTGTATATGAGTTAATGGATCAAAAGTAATTTTTTTGAATAAGTATTAAAATGATTTTGAAACTAATGGAGTGAATTTAGTGTGTGGAGTGAAATTAGTGTTTGAGTGGTGTGTGACTATCACCACCCTTAAATTAAACATACCCGAAAATGGCTTAATAATTAGAGTAAATAATCACCACACCGCAAGTATTTATACTATACATCCGAATCTAAGGTATTTCACGTATATTTAATTGCATGAATATAATACTCATTTTCAGGTAACTGAAAAAAATAATATTTGAGTAACAGAATACTATTTTCGAGTAACTAAATGCTCATTTTCGAGCATAATTGAATTTTAGATAAATGATTTTTCAGTTACTTGAGAATAAATATTCACTTGTTCGAAAATGAGTATTCAGACACTCGTAAGTGAACACCGGCCTTGATATAAGGAAAACACAATACAACTGGTTGGATATATTGCGCCACACCGCTTGCTTAATTAGTACTCCCTCCGTCCCAAATTACTTGCCACATTTGCCTTTTCAACAGTCGCGGGAACTTTTGTTTATTTCTACGTTTTCATTGGTTATTTGATAAAATAAAATATTCTTGACACCTCTTATTTCGAAGAACTTTTCATGTAGTTTTTTGATATGTAATTTTTATTTTTTATTTTTTATTAATATGTAAATAAAATGAATTGAAAAAATTTGATACTTTGTCTCGGTAATAGCAATGTGACAAATAATTTGGGACGGAGGGAGTAATTAATTACCATAATTAATTTAAAGATCAAACTCATTCCATATATGCGCACACACGCACATGGCTAATTTTTATGTATAAATAAGTGCCAAATAACAAAACTCATATTACACATTACGGAGTATAATATAATATAATTATTATATATAATAATTTTCTTTAAATATAATAATATATTTTTTATGATGAAATCATCGGCTTTGGGGTGGTTTAGGGCACTGATACTAATGATGGTAATGTGTGCTTGTTTTTCATCGGAGGTGGCGGTTGCGATAAGATACCAGAGGCCGAATTTCCCTCCGCCGCCGCCGTGCGCCGGCGAAAATTGTCTGCCGCCTCCGTCAAATCCATACATCAGAGGCTGTAATCGCTTCAACCGCTGCAGATCAGGTCCCCCCGCCGAGAAAGAATCCTCGTCATTAGTTGATTAATTAGCCACGGGGTATTAATTAATCCATGTTTCTCTGAGTATTTGTCAGCTTTTGATTTGTTTTTGTCAAAATTGGTAAATTTTGATTACAAATTAAATAAAAGTGATATTATAGATATTGATACAAAAATTATTTTTTAAGATTTGTTTTATAAAATATTTTCTAAATATTATTTTATTTAATTACCATATATATTTTGTTTATTTATAAGCTAAATGTTAAAGGTTTTTTTGACTGAAAAAAGTCAAAACTAGACAAATAGTCAGGACAGTTAAATTTCTTATCATTGGTTTATTTTTAGTATGAATTATTGATGGGAGGGAGTTTAGAATAATGTACTCCTAGTTTGTACCAATTGGGATTAAAAAAAATAATATATGAAGGAATAATGGAATGTTATGAAATGTTACGAGTATATGATTGGATTTGTTCTTATTTAATTAATGTTTAATCTAATATGATCTAAATTGATTTGGTATTAGAGCTATTTCTAAGCTGATTTGATCTTGTCTAATCTAATTTTAATGAAAATAAATAATACTTCCATTGTCTGGATTTAATCTTTCATTTGACTTTTTACATTCTTTAATGAAATATTTCAATCATTAATATCAATATGTATACATATATTTTATAAAAAGTTAATATTTGAATTATATTTCAAAAAAAAACTATTGATTTTTATTATATTTATATTGAAACATAATACTCATATTTTCTTGGCAAATTGATGTCAAGATTTACAAACTTTGACCAAAAAATTCAAATAAGAATAATTTGAAAACAACATACTCTAAGGTCATGTTCTCCACAACTTATTTATTTTTACTTATTATTTAGGGGCATGTTTGGAAATAGCGTTAGAGATTAGCGTTAGCGTTTTGAATAAAATTTTAACAACGCAGATAACTTTGAAAACGCCTGACCATAGATAGCATTTTCAAACCATTAACGCAAATTTCTAACGCTACATTCAAATCATATCAGAATTATTCAAATATCTAATTACGGTCCAAATAACATAACTACAAATCTCTAATTACGGTCCAATAACATAACTACCAAGTCCATTTACAAAGATGACCGCTACTTAGGATTGAAAACTGAAACACAACAAATTTTCTTTATATGTGAAATAGATCTTTATGGCAAGAGTGTACTGTATTTTCTTTACAAAATAATTGATTGTAATGAATAGTTTGGGAGTAATATACACTGTATATAAACACCTAGCCAGTTCATACCAACTGTGAAGTGAGGAAGGTCAGAAGATCAAAAAAACAAATGTTAGCTTGTGATCTCAGAAATGCTTGAGTTATTAGCATTTAAGTGGAACACTAGGCTTATATCTTCTTGTCGCAGCCCTAAATCACGGTGTTTACCAGCCGAGCCCGTGGGGCTGTGTTCATGGTGAAAAGGGTTGTCTGCGCAGTGAACAGAGCTCAGCCTCGGAGAGAAACTCCAGCCACTATCTTCAAGATCATGATGAGCGGTTCTCATGCTCGCCTCGTCTCTCAGCTTCATGAAAAATGGCGATGACCAGTAGTCCCTTGCTAAATTCTTTAAATGAGATATAGCAATGAAAGATTTAGTCATTATACGATCAAGAAGTGTCGAGAGTGTGCAAAAGTAACACGTATTCAGGTAAGAGTCTGACCAGTTTCATCAAATGCATAAGTTCACCCAGAGCATTTTGAAAGAGTTGTGGATGAGCTAGGTTGGTAGTAGTCAAAATACCCTGCCGGCAATGGTGTGATATGTTCACCTCCATCGGTGCACCTATCAGTAGCGTGTTTGCAGATGCAAACGCAATTAAGAGAATTACAAATGAGCTAGATTGACAAGAATATCCAAAAAGATGAGAACCCTATGATGCATAGAAATTTATAGGAGCAGTGTTTCCTGGCTTCAGAAAGGTTTTGGAAATCAAAACTCCCAAACACTCTCCAAATGCTTTTTTTTTTTGAGTTGTTTCTACGATTTCTGAAATATTTGAGGTTATTTCAGTAATTTCCAGAAGCTTGGAAACACATTTCATGAGGAAAATTATCAGATTACACAACAATTACTCCATATAGCATAAGACTCCAAAATATGTTGAATAATTAGTGGTAGTAAAATTATCAAACTGATGCATTCTGTTTGCATACATGTACACACAAACTTATACGTACATACACTGATACACACATATACACACACACTTACACTTATGCTCCCTCCGTCCTAAACCTAAAGTCTCAAACACTATTGACACATCATTTTTTCCTTTTTTACTTATTATCGTTAAAATAACATAGTCATGTCACCTCTTGTTTATAGAGCATTTGATATAGTTTTTGAAATATAACTATTACTTGAAATACTACCTCCGTCCCAAACAAAGACTCATGGTTTGACTAAGCACAAAATATAAGGAAAGTGAAAATGTGTGGTTGAGAATGATGCACAGAGAGAACGATTACGAGCCACTCGAAGTTTTCCAAAACAGGAAAGAGAGTTTTTTTGGGACGTCCCAGAAAGGAAACAAGAGTTTTTTTTGGGACGAAGGGAGTATTTAAATAAATTGAATTGAAAATAAATTCAACCAACCATCGTAATCTGCAATGGAACTTTAGTTTTAGGACGAAGGAAGTATTTACATTTTTATTTTGTGTTTAAGAAATAGAAAAATACCCAGGTTTCTTGTTTCCTAGATTTTAGAAAATGTTGTTTTACAGTTTCCCATTTCCCATTTCTCGCTTCCCATTTTGTGCATCATAGATTAGAAGCACAATGTGGATGATATGTGAAGCAACAACTAGGAAACAAAAACAGCTAAAGGTTGACTAAGATTAGAGTACGTAAAATCCATCACTTCATTGTGTGAAAATTGAAATGAGCATGCATATAAGCTGATGAATTTCATCCTACATTCCTACCTGCAACGATGTACTTCTCAATAATGTGGCGTGCCATGTATATTCTTCCGACGGGATCATTGATAGGTATTTTATCAAGCTGTTGAAGTTCTTCATAAAAATGGACACTTTCCCCAGCAAAACAACTACAAGAAGGAGAAGTAAAACATAGCATAAGCATACCTACATTGTTTTCCGATGATTACACCCACCTTCATAAAGATGGTATGAAGGTGATATATAATACAGATGTGTTTTACAGAAGAAAAAAGTCAAAAAACATATCAGTGAGGGTGTTTGGCACTGCTTTTGATGACTAATTCAAAGCTTCTGCACCAGATAGAAGCATTTAGGTAATGTTTGGCAATGCTTTTCGTGTGTGATTCACAAATTCTAAGAGAATCATTTGTGAGGTGCTTTTTGACTGTGTTCCAAGCAATCCCTTTTGTAAAACTTTAAGCAAAGACAAACACCCTCAATATACGTTTTCCATCAATTTATATTAGTAAGATGCTACCTAATGCTCATATCTTCTCTAAAGTACTTGAGAAACATAAGACCCTTGACATTAAAAAAAAGAGTATACCTGTCTGCAAACGCCATGAAGGACTGACGAAATGTTTTGTTTATTAGAAGCTTATCCAAAGGCTCGTTAGGGTTGAAATCCCATGATGACTCATTTTGAAATAGAAGCCCACTATCTGGTATACCCAGTGCCTGACCCATTGTCTGGTGCTCCTTTTGGTCCTTCTTTGTCAAGCTCATAAGCGAGATGAGTGGTTGAGAAATTGAAAAGGAGAAAAACAACAGCACAAGCACACTAGTCTGACATGAGATACAAACCAAAACTTTATCAGAAAAACAACTACTTTGTCCATGACAAATTAAAATCATAGAATGTATAGAAATCTTACCATAATTAATAATACAAATCTAGAGGCAACTTCTAACCAAGTTATTTCTTCATAAATCTCATTCAGAATGTAGGAAACTACCCAAATTCCTAAGAACACCAAAAAGTAAAGTGATTATTTACTCAAATATATTCACAGGAAAAAGCATATCATAACGCTGAATTGCAAACGCCTAGTAAGTCATTTATTGAGTGTATTCATGTAACATAACCTTTTCACGAGCCCTAGCATAAGATACATGCGTGCAAAGTACAAACAAAAAAAGAAGTTTCAATAGAAATATACCAATGGCAGCAGTGGAAACAAGAATTCCCCTCCAAAGGGCCTTCAGCTCTTCGAATCTAAACTCTATGTGACGAACAGCTCCTGTAAAACCCATCAAAGTGGCAACATATAACACGTGAAGGGAAATTACTGGTATGATCCATCGAATCCCCATGTGGCAATGGTTGTTCAAAGGCTTTTCTTTGTAAAGAACTGCAGAAAAACACGGCAGGCTTTAGAAAAAACATACACTGTTGTTCCTTGACATGAGCAAGTCGGTAAGAAAATATGTCACTTGAACTCTTGAAGTTTTAAAAAAACATACGAAATGAAGTTTCTCTATTTCTTTTTCAAAATAGAGAAAAGATGAAAATAATATTAACATAAATTTGTAAAACCAACTAAATTGAGTAATAGATTAAGGAATGGAAGTGCCAAACCCTAGCATATTGAATTCCCTTCAGTATGAGTAATTAAGTATGTGTTAAACTAGAGAGATAATAAAATTGGAAAGACATTAACACTTTTAACATGTTTAAGTATATGGGTGAGGGAAGGGTAGAAAAGGAAAAAAATGGAAAAGTCCAGTCTGCTTAATGACAATGTGCATAATTCTTTCAATGTGGTTGGACCGTTGGAAGACAAAATAAATATATGGTAGCAACAATAGAATGAACGATTACTAATTGCATAGAAAAATTTAAAGTGCGCAAGACTTCAAGTAGAAGGAAAAAGATTTTCGGCATCTTCCATGAAGCACATATGAGCCCAGGGAAACTAGAAAATCAATTTTTTTTGTTCTTACAGAGGCCACCAGCAATCCATGGCAAGAGAATCAATGAGAGGAATATATAGGATCGAATGGGTGGCAGACGTCTCCTGGAACATTCAAGAAGGATAAAGATTAAAACAAAACATTAGAAAAAATAGCTTCATAAACTGCACAGCAATTTAAAGGAAGGCTCTAAGTGAACCACTTCAATTGTGCCCCCAGCCCAAATCAAAACAAAAATAGTTATAGCAACTATAAGTTTCACTTCATTGTACTCCAAAATTTGTATGTGTTAAACCAAATTTCTATTTTGCTAAAGTTCCATTCTTTCTACTCTGTTTTTCTTTTTTTTGCTCCCGGGGACAGGAGATGTTGAATGGTCCGGCCAGTAGGTCTATACACGAAATTAATAAGTTCATTATTTGAATCCCAAAAAAATCAGTCTGTTGGCATTTCGTAAAAATGCAGCATTCAGTTTAAAGAAGCAAACTCACTTCACAAAGACAAAATATAGGTGAAATGCCTGTGCAATGCGGCAGCTCAACAGCAACCCAAAACCAAGCGGCCCCTCTACCCAGACTGGAATGCAATTTTGACCAAATCATCATTCTTTGCAAACAGAAGTAAAACAGGATGCATTAGGCAAGTGCGCCAAAAGCTGTACTGCTAATCACGAGATAGTAATTCACCTGCCCAAAGATAGCACGATGTCCACCATCGCCTCTTTCCGAATTTTAGGAAATGGAGAGACATCTGAAAATGTCATAGAATTATTCAAGCAAGCCTTGCTCGGGTAAGACGGAATATAACAGAAGCAAAAGCCTCATTCATTACCACAATTGACAGCAAAAGGTTGAAACTTGCAAGAACTTGAATTGCCACAAGCCAAAAGCTACTTCCTCCAGGCCTAGGGATTTTGTGAATCAGATACGGAGACAACGACCTTCCAAGTAGACTACAATCACATTTTGTTAGAACTTAACATAGTCAACCATAATTCGACTATCGATGATCAAACTAGAAACCACTCTGTACAAGATATCAAACCCTATAATACCACAGCATACCCATCAGAAAGAGCAAAGAAACAACACCCACTGCCAATTGGCCTTCAAAATCTCCATCCTATACCTAACACTCATTTCAGACCCACGAGCATATGAAGACCAACAGAGTGCAAACTGAAATCAAATAGTAAATGGAAAAACACAAGAACCCTCAAACCCTAACTCTCGAGTAGGAACTATAAGTGCAGGGTCCATGAAGAAAACAAAAGTTTGGAGCAAGAAATCACATTAGTATGGAAGCGGTAGCAATGGAGGTGGCTATGTAGTCACTCGGGCATCCTCCCTTGACAGCACAGGTCGCCATTGTTTTACTCCCAAGTATTGAACAGCTGCTGTTGATCCATGAAATGTCCGTCTCTAAAGTGTTTGTTGAAATGCCTGTGAGAGAAAAAAAAATACTCCGGGACCTCTTTTTCTTTGAGAAGCACGTGTCTTTGCCGTTTTGCTTCTTTCTTTGACTATGACTTTATGAGCCACCACAATTTGGATATGTTTGGCAAGACTTGCTCTCCATGTTATAAATTTTAAAGAATATTTTTAATTACCCATAGGTTTTTATATTTAGTTTCAAATTCTAAAATATGACAATTATTTTCAATTTTTGAAAATTATTGTATGAATAGTCATTTAGGCCAAATATGACAAATTTTTTCCACATAGTCTCTCAAAGACCTAAAAAGAAATAGTTTTCAAAAATTGAGAAAAATTTATGTAATATCTTAAAATTAGAGACTAAATCTAAAAAATCACATGTAATTAGAAATTGTAGGTGATTTCTAATTACTCTAAAATAAAATTTCAAAGTTGGCTGAACACTATAATTACTCTAACTAAACTTTCAAAGTTGGCTGAATATTATGAAATATCGATTAGAATTTATTCTAAACTAAAATNAGTTAAATTGAATGGTGGGAGTTATAAAATGGAGGATAAAATTATGTAAACCATACAAAGTATAATCATTGATATTTAAAAAAAATGTGAAAAAACAAAGCTTTTAAAAAAACAAAGTTTCTTGAAAAAACAAAAGAGGAAATGTGAAAGTTTTTTTCCATCATACTAGTAGGTTAGAATTTATTTAAAAAAGATAGATCTTTTGTGTGCCACATATTTCTTTCTTTTAAAAATATTAGAAATGTGAATTCTTTTTAGGACATCCAAATAAAAAAAGCAGGAGATTCATTGTGGTATAGAGGGGTAGTATTCAACTGTTGGTGCAAAAGTATTATACCCACGGTGCAGATTAGTGAACTAATTGTTGTTTATTAGCGAGAAGTTAGTTTGTGATTAGCGAGTAATGTGTTTCTTGTGTATTTTTTTATCTGTTTACTTTTTTGTCAAAAGACCAGTCAGCACCGTAGAGTTTCTGAGACATCCTATGACATTGAAATCCAATGCCACTTGAACCGGGTTGTTGTTAGAAAGGACTCTTTTAATGTTCAATGTTTATGTCCTTGATTGGTAATGCACCTTATCATAAGTTTCTTTAATAAAATCAGCTTTAATTAATGGAAAAAAAACATTACATGTCATGTATAAAAACTTTGATATGGAGTATAAAACAAAGGATATGCTAGGGCCAAATGGAGATTCACATGGAACAAGGCATGAAAGATGGATTATGACAAGAGATTTGGGAATTAATTCCTTTCAAATCATATCTATTATTAGTATTATAGGCGGTATATATACCTTGTGAAGTTGCTTGGATCTCATTTTCATTAATGAATGGTAAAAAAATGAAATTATTACTTTTTTTAGAGTGACTTTTAATTAGTGCATTGTTATTTATTCAAATTTCAATTTTTGGTCTTAAGATGGGTTTTGATAAGCGTATTATCTTCTAGTAATTTGATTTGGAATGATTTTTAATCACAAATCTTAAGTTAAGAGTTATTTAGGCTGCATTTCATTCGCATGATCTCATCTGATTTTTTGAAGATCTGACTTGGTCTGATCTGGTCCAATCTGGTCTAGTCTGATCTGATTGTAGTTATAGTTAAAATTGTTTTTGATCTGATCTAATCTGACTTGATCTGATTATAATAAGAATAAATAATAAGCAGAAAACATAAGTTGAACAGAACGCTGCCTTATTCAAACTTATCCCGGAGCGAGTTCAATGTCAAATTGGTAAAATGGAGAGTATGGGGACTGGGAAGGGGCTAGTATGAGCACTTATTGGTTCAACAAAACACCCTAAAAGACCTCAATGTCATAATATGACATTAGATTCCAATGTCAAATAAACTACGGTGACATTACATATCTCCATTATCCATAAAGTAACCCATCCACTGAAGGGTATAAATCAGTATGAACTGGCTGTTTTATACATTTAAGACCCACTTTTGGGTTGTTTCATTGTTAAATTGAAAGTAGTTTAAGTAAGGCAAGATACCACATAGATCACTTGAAGATCCAAGACAAAGGGTTTGGAAATCACTTCGACTTTCTTGATGAATGCTTTGCATTTTAGAATATGCTTACTTGTTGTTTGTCCACCCTGCTGTGACAAATCTGCACTATATCAGCTTGTGATGCCAGACAACAGTTATGTATGGGATTGATCTTCTGCATAAGATCCATCTGCACTAGTGGAAAATTGTGACAAAACTAATCAACAATTAGTGGCACTCCCAAAGATTAACCACAAATACTTGACACAAATCAAAGAGAAAACGATGCAGTTTTCCACATTTTGGTCATAATTGGTTTATTCCATTTGATACAGAATAATACTTGGGTATCATCATTCAGATTTTTGTATAACACAACACGAAAAGAAAGATGAATAGTCATGCATAAAGTTACCTCATAGTTTTTTTATGCATGTGGCTGATGATGATCAACTGAGTTTTGAGGTGACATTGGACTGTTGTCTAAAAGCTCAGATCTCAGCCTCATCAGCAGTCTGCCAAGATAGTTAAGGCCTTCTCCATCGCGGCCTCCTCCCCAAAAGAGATCGTGGGGTGAAGATTCTACAAGAACTGATCCTTTTGTTGCAACCAGCAAAGAGTTTAGATGTGGGTATGTTGTGAACTTGCATTTCAGGGCCTTGTACATGACATCAAGCTTGATGGAATTCCAGTCTGGTCTTACCTGTATGCACATACCTAGAAAGCTCAGGGAAGAATATGCAGTGATGATTACTCAGAGTAATAATTAACTTTAAAACACAAGGCCATCTTCTTAAAAGAGTCAAGACAACCCGTACAATTTTACAATATCGAGTCGTGAGCATAAGTGTACTGCCTCAACTAATCGCAGCATCATGAAATTTTCCACGTGGAAAAGGCATAATTAATTGCATCTAGTTATTCCTTGGAAAAAAGCTAGAAGTTAAAATGGGAAAGACATTACATGTAAAACACAAACACTGTTATGTTTGCAGTAATTTATATTGTCTATATAAATCAACTTTAGACAGCTGATAGAAATTAGTTGGGATTCAGGTGGTGGTGATGATATCCATCCCTAACTCTTAAGAATCCATTATGTTTTCCATGTGGGCATTTATGCAATATATGAAGCCTTACCAGGTCAGGACGTTGCTTCTGTAACCTCCTTCCCAGTCGTGCAGCTTCCTCGGGGCTCTTTGCATTTTTTATATCTTCAATATGCTTTTGAGCCACAGGATCAGCCACCCCTGTAAATTTATGTGCCTAAAATTTGAAGAAAGCTCTGAGAAAAGAGTGTAAGACAGAAATTGAAAGAAACTCTAAACTGTCACTGAAGTTACCTGGTAATAATGCTCCACACTAGACCACGTGACACTATTTCCAGTTTCATCGGGCAATTGAATCGGGTGGCTAGAAAAGTTTGAAAAGAAACCATATTGCTCCCATGTTTTATAAAAAAATATGACACTCGACTCATAAGGAGAAATTGAAGGATCAATTTCAGAAGCTTCTTCTAAAGATGGAATAGCTGGAGTGAGGTCTGGAACTGGATGAAGAAATCCACTAACAAGCAAGTCAGGTCCAATCTGCAAACCACATATTCAGCAGTGAGCATGTAGATAAAACATATTTTGAATAGTTTTATATTTTTCTATTGAAGGGAAGCATGGTCTCTCTACTTCCACTTAGGGGCTCACCCTCCCCAGACCCCACTAGTGGGATTTTACTATGTTGTTGTTGAAGAGAAACAAGTAACCCAACCTATTTTCACTTAAGGTGAGAGCAATGATACTCAAAGATGTAGTATTCACTTGGATTATTGGAAGTTGTGGTAAGACACATCATCTTTGACTGGCACTAATCTATCTACATGTCAGTGGTGTTTAAACTCCCATGTGGTGGACACATTTTAGTCCAGTTCTAGCCCATACGGCTTCCATATTGGAATGCTAGTCCAAGAGAGTGGCACATGGTCCTTACAGATCAGTGGCAGGCTGGCAGCATGACCCAATTGTAAAAGGGTGGAAACACTATGTACCCAATTGAAGCGATTGAAACATGGGGGAACAATCACATAGTCACAGCGCAATGCCTAGGGGTGAAAAGTGTAATTGCCTAGTTTGTCGAATGGTTTATTTGAAAATCCCACTTGAATCTGTTTGCATTAAAAACTCATTGTTTTGACTTGTATGCTTTGGGGCAGTTGAGCTAGTCATACATAATACTAGCCCAACTAGTGCTACACTGCTAGTCTGTTACCCCTATACAGTTCTCAACAGTTTCAAGCATAAACACATTAAATAAAAGAAGCTATATCAGTAATGTTATACAGATCCCATGCATGCCCAACAAATGTAACATAGAATAAAGTAAAAATCCAGCCATACAGTCATACAGAAACACAGCAATCATGTGTGAAACAAAATTTCACAATATAGGTGTAGCGACAATTCCGACAAATGGACCTGTTCATAGCAAACATCAATCAAGTCCAAAGCTTGGGTCATCTCTACCATCCCAAGATCACCAACTGGAGTTGGTGCATTCTTTCCACCTATAATTTTTGGTGCAACAAAAGCATGGACCTGCATCAAGATTAGACCAAAATTAAAAACACGTTAGAAACAGAAATATGATTTTTATAGTACACATAATTTAGACAAATTTTGGAGGAAAGATCACATATCCTTTTTCCTAAACTTAATGAATTTGTTTTACTGAGAACACTGCAGGGCTGCAAAAGAATGTCTTGTGTTTACTTACTAGTACTAAAAATGAATTTGCCTGAGTATACCTTGTGTATGACTCCAGATGAAATTGCAGAAGCCGCCAATGTCCCTCCACATTCCCACAATACCGAGAGGTAACCACGATCGTAGAAGTACTCTGTAACATCACGTGGATCTAGGATGTCAAACTCTACTACTTCAACGCCTTTAGAGGCCAGCACTTTTTGAAAACTCCTTCTAGCACCTCTTTGTGTCAATATTACAGTTGGGGCTTCAGAAACATCCCAAATATTGGCTTCTTCAGGAAGACTTAGAGTTTGCGACATCACAATTCTATTTGGTACATGGCTACCTCCATGTCTTGCAGTCAAGCGTGGATCTAAACACCAAAGTTGTGTTAGGTGCACCAGCACTAGAATACCTTTAACATCCCCACTGAAGGGGCAGTGATATGTTTTTGAATTCCTGTGGAAGTGCAAGAGAAAGGCTAAATGGAAGCATACTATCTTTACGGACAGTATTTCCTCCAACAATGACAGCATCACTTCGTCCCCGCAATTCAAAAACTCGACTTCTTGACTTTATGCTGCTAATCCAAGATGCATGTCCACTACTAGTAGCAATCTTTCCTGGTCATTACAGAAAACTAGCTGATGTTCCGGTTTGTTAAGAGTTGGCTTCCCTATAAACTGTTAAAGTACGTAAAGTCGTAACTTGTAAACATTAGATGCATAAGGTATAAAGCCCCTAGAACAAAAGGGTAAAGGCATGTCTTCACCATCAAGAGTCATTGCATATTTAAGAACAGAAAAGGGAACATGGCAAGCAGCTCCATAGAGCAAAGGCGCATTGACGATAAGGCAAGACTTACGAGCTTCCTGAAAAATGCACAATGACAAACTTAGAACCCAATTTTTTTTATTGAAAAATGCTAGAAGACTTCAAAGTTCAAACAAAACCATAAAATTTTTGAGTATTTGTTTTTTGTTTTTTTTAATTTTACAACTTTATTTAAAAAAAGTGAATTGAAAATAACTTCAATAATTTCAGCCAGACACCGCAGACCAAAAAGTGAAGTTAAACCAAACTAAGCATACCCATTATGTGAGTGTGTCTCACCCTAAAATTGTAAGGATCACATATGTATGAAAGGGATATTGATATGATATTTTGCAGTTCAAAATGGATATCATGAAATGCCCAACAACCCTCAAAGAGAATATACATAGAGTTGCATACATTTACATTCATGGCCTAACATGGTACAGTACAATGAGAAGGATCAAAATTATGATAGGGACATGACAATAAAGGGTGATTAGTTTTTCATCAAACACTAAAACTCTAAAAATTTGTACATGGATAGAGATCGAGGGAGAAGTAAAATGTAATCTTGGGAGCTTAATAGTCTTATTTTGGAGGATCAAAGAATTCAAAGAATGTTATAACATTACTAGATACAAAAAGTAAAATCAATTTATGAAACAATTCTTATGTGAAAATGATATTAAAAGAAAAGAAATAGCAACATGGTAGAATGCAGTTCTGTTTTTATGCTGATTGCTGAAAGTGTTTTAATAAGACTTGGGGGAATAAAAGAAGTTCATTGAGATTATGGTGGGGGATAAGATAGTGAATATGCCATTGGGGCAATGAATTATTCCCTCCATCCCCATTTAATGCTTTGGATTTAACTTGGCAAAGAGCAAGAAAATAAAACTTTTGTTGTAGAGATTTATTTAGAAAATAAAAAAACTTTTTAACTGAAAAGACAAAAAAGACGGCAAAACAAAGAATGTAGGAAGACAAAAGAAGGGTAGAGGTAGTACACACAAAGGTATAACCATTCTATTCAGGCATGAAGACTGCATGCTGATTATAGTGGAACTTAATCATTTAAGAATACATTCATGCTATCAATTGCACTTCTTAGACCAAATATAATCAAATGAATCTTTGTATCCTATAATGTAAGAACCAAATAATTTACCTCTAAATTTTTTCCATGTAGGTTTTCCCCTATCACATCAACTTGCAGGCCTTCCCTTCTTAGTGCACGAATTGCATTTCCCCGAAGATGTTGCAAAGGATGACGAATCCCAATCACAACTCTTGCAATTCCTGCCTAATCAGCATTTGTGAAATGTGTTATTACTATTAATATTATTGGTTTTAATCCTCAAACCAAACACCTAAATTTGATAGCTATTTGAAAATTAAAATTAAATTCCATAATGGTACTTATTTTCATAGATTCTGTATTGTACAAAATTCTTAATTATTAGTCAAAATCACTCCTTTGGAAAGTCAAATTTTAACACATATCTCATGATTTGGATTTGTAATTGTACTTAATCCATTGTTGCATATAGACTTAACATTGGAGTATCACTTGTGTTTAAATGTTAACTGCTTTTGATTCAATGCTAGTCACATTTTTTTTGTCATTTACAAATACATTGACATTGTGTATATACAAATAAATACTCCCTCCATCCCAATTTAAATTACAACCTTTCTTCTCTCACCTATCGATAATTTTTATTTATTTGTGTGCTTTCATTGATTATTGGATAAAATAAAATATTCTTATCACCTTTTATTTTGTAGAACTTTTGAACAATTTGTAAATAAAATAATTTCAGAAGATACGGGGATTTACCTCGTAAATCCCAACTTGTAATAAAATTTGGGACGGAGGGAGCATAGGGATAAAGTATAATAATAATAATAATAATAATAATAATAATAATAAAGTCATTTTTAATAGTTTATGAGAACAAATAATAGTAACAATAGAAACAATGTTTCTTAACAATATTAGTCTATAATAATGATAGTAATAATTTTCACAGATTATTCATCAGAAATAATAAAAAATGATAATTTTAGTAATAAACATAAAAGCAATAAAAAAACAACAAAAAAATAGGTGATGAGTTATATGCAGTAAAATATACTGTACCATCTAGATTTTCTGGTCTTGGTGTATAATTGTCCCAGATAAAAATAAGAATCTAGGGGTTACATGATTCTCTCTTCACTATGTACTTGGGGCCTGGGGGCTTGGGAGTGTTAACTATTTCAACCAATGTCAAATCAGTATGTAAAACTACCTGGATAAGAGCAGTTGCGGCGGTGGTATCGCCGCAGGAGACGCCGGGTTCCATATTCAGGTAAGCAGTGGCGCCTCTACACCGCTCCCCTGCAGCCTCCACAGCCTGCACTTCGGCTGCCGCAGTCCCCTCCGCATAAAAATAGCCCTCTCCCACCGTCTCAGCCGCTTCCCTTCCGCCGACGGTGGCAGCGATCACGCACCCAAAATTGGGGTGAGGGGCGGTGAATCCGGCGGATTTGTCGGCGAGCTCAGAGGCCCGCTTGATGAAGGTCGCATCTAGAGCATGTGAGGATGAAGATTGGTTGCGGAGAGATGCAGAAGCGGAGACGGGGACGGCCCTGAGCTTGAAGATGATGAATGGTGCGGCGGCGATTCCTCCGAGAAGATGTGACATTTGGGAGTTGGGGGAGCAAATGGTGTGTTAGAGGGATAGTGTAAATGCAATTTTACACTACAACAGTGTTTTCCATATTAGGAATGCTATGTTCACAAACAAAATACTCACAAACTTTACAAATTTACTATTTATGATTTAAAATTTTATTTTAAAATCATTTTAGACCATTTAATTTTATGCATAGAAGTTCACAAATAGTAAATTTGTGAAGTTTGTAACCGCTATGTTTGTGAACCAAGCATTTTCCTTTCCGAGCAATGCTATGTTCACAAACAAAATACTCACAAACTTTACAAACTTACTATTTATGATTTAAAGTTTTATTTTAAAATCATTTTAGACCATTTAATTTTATGCATAGAAGTTCACAAATAGTAAATTTGTGAAGTTTGTAACCGCTATGTTTGTGAACCAAGCATTTTCCTTTCCGAGCAATGCTATGTTCACAAACAAAATACTCACAAACTTTACAAACTTACTATTTACAAAATATCTTTTTTTATACTTACTCCAATCATATCTTTTATATTATACACTTTTGTAATTTTATTTTTATAATCACCTTTATTATGTGCAAAATCAAATCAATTTTTTTGTATAACCTAATTAATCTATTGTTAAAAATTTCATAATATTATTTAAAAGTAAATATCTAAATAATTAGTTGTTCATTTTTAATTTTTTTGGTAAAATTGATAAACTTTGATCGGAAGAATCGGAATGGTATCATACTAAGATAATTAGCCATCAACACAATTAATATAAATTCCAGCAATTTACCCAAAGGGAATGAGCACAGCAGCACCGGTGATTTTGGATTGAAGAAGACAGCAGAAATGATAAAGAGAGGAGGGGGAGAGAGTGACGAGAGATAAAAAAGGGCCACAAAATAATTTTAAAAACTATTTTTCCTATCTACAGTAACTTGTAGATGCATTTTACACTATCCCTTGGAGTGAGATAAAATGAAAAATAAAGTGTAAAAAGTGTATATTTTACAATATACCCAATGCATTGGAGATGCTCTTACTGTCCGTGGCGGGCAATTGGGGGAGAAAGAAAATGTAGGCCAGAAAATACAATCTCTAATACATTTTCTCTTTCTCCAGTTTTGATTTTTTTCGATTAATGTTTTTCAATATTTGACATATAATTAAATAAAATATACATTTTAATTAATTAGATAAAATAATATTTTAAAAATATTTAATATACGAGTCATAAATCTAATAAAATTATTTTTGTATCAATATTTAATATCATTTTTATTTAATTTGAGATCAAAAGTTTACCAATTTTGACCAAAAATGTAAGAAATGAACAAATACTTAGAGGGTGTTTGTTTTTCTGCCAGAAGACCTTCTGGCGTCTTTTGTCTGCGCCGCACAGACGCGTGCAAATGATGGGCTCTGCAGATTGTTTGTTTTTTGGAAGACATTTCACTCAAAAAGGTCTTCCTAGCATCTTCTTGGAGAAGACATTAACCAATGTCTTCTAACATCTTCTAACATCTTCTCCTTTTTTTTCTACTTATCTTCGCCACCACAATCGTTCACCGCCACCGTCCACCACTACCACCGTCCACCATCACCGTCACCATCCATCACCATCAT